AAAAAAAAAAAAAACACAAAAATTTGTGATCTTAAATATACGATATAAATACATAAATATACCTCGATTTTTTGTCGCCCTCAAAGTGGCGACCACGAAGCCTTATTAAAATGAAGTTTTCGATTCTTTTTTTTTTTTCCTGGTTGTTCATGGCGGAAATCACGCCACAATCAGTTGGATGGAGAACGTTACCTTTGTAACTGATGTTTAGGCAATCCCATTAATAAATATCTTAATTAAGTATATCTGCTATTACTTGTTATATGAAGGTAGAATTGAAAATACTTTCAAATTTTGTAGCAAGTGTAAAAATTTCCCTATATATTTTATGTGCCCAAGTGTGACCAATTGTGTTTTACTTGATCAATTTAAGTTGTGCCTATTTTGCCTAAGATAGTGTTTGGTTGGGGGTTTTGGAGAGGAGGGGAGGGGAGAGGAACACTAGATTTCACTTGTTTGGTTCACTTTTTCAAGAGAAAGGGTAAGGAAAAATTTGGATTAAAAACCCTCTCAAAAGTGTTTTTATCTCCCCTCCAAGATTGGGAGGATTTGGAGGGGAAGGAAAATGTAATGTGATAAAATTACTTTTATGTCCTTAGTATTTAAATTATTTTATTATTTTATCTCTTGTATCATTAAGAATAAACTAGTCAATTTAACATTATTTTTCATCTTCTTCTATTTTCTAACCAAACAAGGTTTATCATTTTCTTTCCCCTCCCTCCTATAAAATCCCTCTAAACAAGATAAAATTATTTTACATCACCTCCCCTCCCCTTCCCTTCCTCTCATTAAAATCCCTCCCCTCCCCTTCCCTTCCCTTCGTTGAACCAAACATACCGTAAGTGTATTTGCTTCTACTAGTGTTCAATTTTATTTTATGAGTAATGCTATACATCCTACTTGGACGACAACATGTGTTACAATATAAGTGTAAATACAATATTTTTTTAATTTTTTGACAATGAATTTACACTTGGGTTGTAACCCAAGTTGTCAACTAAGTGGGCTAAATAGCATTAGTCTTACTTTATTCAGTGTGCTTAGGGTTCTTTTTTGCCTAAAATTGGTGCTAAGTGTTATTTTTTTGAGATTTGCCTAAGTTGTATTCTTGGCCCTAAGACCCTATGCTCGGCCCAAATGTTTTTTCTTTTGAATTTTTCGGCCCAAGATTTTGCCTTACCTCTGCTTGACTGGAGAGAACCACCAGTTGTCGGCTAGCCGAGCAACTCTGCCCGACTGGCGAGAGCAGGACGAGAAGAGAACCAAGAATTTTCAGAATTAGCCAATCCACTTTCCGGCGAGACCGGCGAGAACCCGCGCAACACAGAGAGAGAGAGAGAGAGAGAGAGAGAGAGAGAGAGAGAGAGAGAGAGAGAGAGAGAGAGACGTTACCGCAGCCGAGAAACCGAGAGCAGAAAGCCAAACTGAGCCCTCTCTTTGTTCTTTTTTCGAATCCTTATCGAAGGAGGTAATGGGCTGATCCTTACACCTCATTTTATGGCTGAGTAGATGATCTTGTTTCAGTTTTTGAAAGTTAGGAATTGGCATGCTTTGACTTAGTGAGAATGAAGAAGAAACTGAGATGAGTTTCATGCGAATTTTTATGCCATATGTGTAGGTCTTTTTTCTGAGATAACATGATGTGTTTAGCATGCTGTAGATGGGGTATTTTTAGAGCTTTTGTTTCAGTTATTTGGCCCTCGATTGTTATTAACTCAAGCATGAAAAAAAGAAAATTAAAGTTGGGCTTTTTGGGTTGTTTTCCTCGGCCGTTTGTGATGCTGTTGCTGAAGCTTATGTTGTCTGTCGGCATGCTAAAAATGTACAATTTGAAGGTCTAAATTTTCAGTTGTGAGGCCTGAGGTGTATTGCTCAAGTATTGAGAAAAAGTAGAAAGAAAAAGAAGGCTATTTATTTGGTTTTGTGTACTTTGTTTAAGTGCCTTAGTTGCTGATCCTTTTGTGGGTTTTAAAATTCTGTTTTTAAATGCACGTTGGAGCTTTGTTCCAGTTGTTGTTAATCTTTGTGTGGTCTTTGAAATTTTGAGAAAAGGAGACAAATGGAAGGCTTGAGTTCATGAATGTTAGGTTGTGATGACTGGCCTAAGTTCATTACCTAGCTTTGAGCCTATTGTGTTGATAAAACAGGCTGGATTTATAAGTGTTCAAAGCCTTATGCTAAGTCTTATGTCTGATATATTGGTGGTTTAAGTTATAAGAAAAAGGATGAAGAAAAGAAGGGAAAACAA